CTTTCTATGGTATATTAGCTCTTTCACTAATAATACCATAATCATGTTTTTCTTTATTAGGAATACTTTTTCTCTACTGTGACACCTCCATGAGTCTTATTCAAAGAACTTAACTCTTTTAAGGCGGGTCCACACGGGTGCTTCCAAGAGTCATCACTCTTAGGAACTGTTTCCCATAAGGAAAACCCTTTACTATATACTAATCTATCTAGAGTGTGTCTCATTCACTAGCACAACCCATCCATCTCACGGATGAAGATTCATATAGACATCGTTACAAGTGAATACACTATTACATTGCATCATGCAATATTCTTAACTTATTGCGCCTCAAGGCTAGTATACTCTTATGCATAATCAAAGTATGTCTCTCTATACTATTCTTTACTAGTCTCTTTTCTTTATCTCCTCAAGAGAGTTCCACACTGATTTTGGCTCTTGAGCATACTTTCTCTAATCATCTTCTGATTATTTTAGAGCATAAGCTCACATTGACAAGAGTCACAAGACTATCTCAAGTTTATCAATTTCATATCACACCATGATATAAAACTAGAATTGATCGATTCGTACACTTAGTACACCCGGATTACCAAGGTAAAATTCGTACTCAACCATTCCATGGGCTGTCCCAAGGAAAGTCCAAGCCATACTCATTTGGCCATTGTATCTTGATCAGTCAATTCATATTTCCCATAGTTATACTTGCATGCATCACATATCATACAACATGAAAACATTGCATAATTATAGTAGTCAATAATACGCGACCTACTCTTATAGATTTTCACACATCTTCTTATTTAGTGTGTGACATCAATTAAGTGTGATAACTTTTTATTTATGATCATTATTCTTTCTCATTCTATGCAAGTCATACTTCCTCTTAATGCATACAACTTATATTCTTTATTCTTAGCCAAAAGGCATTCGTTTAAATATAGCAATTTCAAACTTACGAGGTGTCTTTAAATTTTGTCTCTACCTCATCATTTCACTTAACCTTTCATAAAGGATCTTTCATAAAATTTCTCGGTCACTACAACAGAATACTATCTAATGTATATGTAGTAAAGATATGTTACTCATATCCACACTAAATGGAAACATAATAACAATCATAACTCCTAATGATTTAAAACTAAATAAGTGCTCCTAATTCTTATACCTTCTACAAGGTCTGACATTTTTCTCCTTATTGAGTGGTTTTAAAGTATCCACTCGACTCTTAACTTGAGGCCCTGTAGCTATTATTCCTAAACACACATTAGCAAAGTGTATACTTTACCACATTAGGCAAAAAGGACATTCATTCCAATCATCCCTTCTTTGAAATGATACTGATTGACTAGAGTACTCTAATCCCTAGCACTATTACCAGTTATTTTTCTTTTTAACCTTTTCATTTAAACCTTTTAGAAGATCAGCAGCCATTTTTTCAAGTTCTGGCAATGCCTTTCTGTTTAATTATTTCCCATAAATGAGGAAATTTCTTAAACTCTTCCCTCAAAACATCTATAACAACTAAAACCTTTCTGCCTTCAAGAATATAATAATATTCAACGATGGCAGCCTTCCTTGTACAAGGATCAACCATAATCATATAACAGCCATAACACTTATTTATAGACAAAAAACTAGACTCCCGGGGCTTTAACATGATATATAATATGCCACGTTTTGTTAAGGAACGAAAAAGATATAGACGTTCTAAGTCGATCCTACTTGTCAAGATAAAATTTGACAGCACTTGGTTGTTCCTTAATGGTTAGGGATACTTTCCCAATCTCATATGGCACCTAATTGACAATTTAACATATATCATGCTATTCTTAGCCATTTCAAGGCTTTACATCTAGGATCCATCCATGGATCATCTCATTACATAACTCAAATGAATATACATCCATTCTCGTAAACATTTAAAATGTCCACAAGTCTCATAGTCTTTACATTACATAATGTTGGAACTTAGCATATACAAAAGATATGATCAATGTCCTAGATACAAAATACTTCACAAATGATACAAGTTACTATAATCATAATCTAAGTTCCTCTCAAAATAGGATTGCATGTACATATACATATCAAAAGTAATCCAAATCAACAGCATGCTATGAACTGAAATCTAGCTGGGCCTCTTGCCCTGAGATGCTCCCTCTCCCTCCGCAGAGGTACCTGAAAGGTGAATCCCTAAAACGCGAGGTGAGATAAAAATCTCAGTAAACTACGAATCCTTGGAGAATCACTCCACCCTGTAGTTCACTTTCAGTGCATTAACAATATTAAAATAAAGCATGCATATATACATATTATCTTGTTTTATCTGTTCTGATCTGTCTGTTTTATTTTGTTCTATTATGTCCTTTTATATTCTTTCTGCTATGTAACATCCCAAGGGCTGGCAAAGGCAAAAAGCGAACGTCGGTGCAAAAGAGGCACGGATAATGAGCAGCTCATGCCAAATCTTGTAGCTCGGAGTACATGAATGAATCGAATCAACACCCAAAAGAGAGGGACTCCAGAGATTGTGCTAGTATTGGACGATATAGTTGGGGATAACTTATAAGAATTAATTGGTACTACCTATACTAACAAGATGTATATACTTTTTGATAGCTCAGACGGAAGAACTTCATAGTTAAGCGTACCTGACTTGGAGTAATTCTGGAATGGGTGACCTCCTGGAAAGTTTTCCCAAGAAGTGTGTAAGTGAGGACAAAGCATGCTGACAAGTCTCGTGTTAGTTTATAGGGATGATCATTGATCCTTGCAAGTTGTCGGGCGTTACACTTCCAGCTTGTTATATATTAAGGGTCAAATTAAGCATATAATTGATCTAAATGTAACCAAAAGACACTAGCATTGTGATTAAATTGTCAATTCACTTTCAAGAGTATTTTCATAAAATTCTTGTGTTTTTGTAGGATTTTTGGCTTATTGAAAGGAGATTGAGTTGGAAAGCTTAAGAGGAAGCAAGAAAGGAACATGTTAGCTGGCACTACTAGCACCAGAATGGCGCCTCAAGCGCCATCATCCGATGTCTATGTATTACCACGCTAGCAACGACAGGTTGGCGCTCTTAGCGCCAAGTTCACATTCCATCTGCCCCACTAGCGTGAGAACCACGCTAGGAGCGCCAGCTCACATCAAAGCCCCTATTTCACAGCGCTAGCAGCGCCAGGGTGGCACTACTAGATGACGTTCACTTGAAATCCAATATTTAAACCATATCTGACAAGGATCTGCGATTGAAGATTTCGAAGGGAAACTTTAAGGAAACTTCTCTCTCACTATAAAAAGAAAAGATTTGGAAACAAGGATTCTGCTAGGACATTTGGCAAATGAGGAGAGAACGCAGAGACTAGAGATTGAAGTTTTTCAGAGATCAAGATGGAGATTAAAGGAAGATTGAAGATTAGCTGTGGAGATCAACCAACATTCCTCCTTTAGGATTTCATCTAGTTTGCTTTTATTTTATTGCTTTGTTTAAGCCAGATATGTTTGGCTAATTTTTCATTGTAGTTAGGGATAAGGATCCAAAGTGAACCTTTATGTTTTGATTAATTTCTTTTCAATAATAATCTGTCTCAAATTGTTTATGTTTACCTTGATTTATATGTTCAAATTCTTGTATGATCTGATCAATCATATAGGAATAAGGAGGGTTAGAATTCGCAATAGACATATTGGGATCTTAGCCTATACAAGGATAAAACATCAATTCTTGCATGTTCTAGACATAGGTTTGTAGGAATTGCGAACTTGTGTAATTCATCGTGGTTAAGGGTTAAAGGATTAAAGAACTAAGTCATTATGATTTAAACAACTAATTATTAGATGATAAATTGTTCGAAACAATTAGGATAGAAAGTTATTGAATTGAGTTAAATCATTTAAAGGGAATCGGAGGTGAAATAAACCATAGTTGTAGTTCTCATTATTGATTTTAAAATCCATCTTTTGAATTATTTGAATTCCTTCTTGCAATTGATTACTCCTTAGCATTTATTCTTTCTTTTATTCTCATTTGGCTTTCCATCAATTGAAATATTACTTTTTCAAAACCAATCTTTGATTTGTCCAAATGAAAGGGAATAGTAAAAATAGTGTTTGGAGTCCCTAATTCTTGTGGAAACGATAACTTTCTCATCACTTTATTATTTTTGTGATCGGTATACTTGCCGTGAGCATAACACGTGTTCACATAATTCATATTTATTTGTTTTGTTTACACTGCAATCATACTTAATTATGTATTTTGAGTATTCTAGTATATAGTGCAGTTGTGGACATAATGCCAGATTGCTTTATTTGCCATTGCTATGATGGATAAGCTGTTATTTTAGAGAATGATAGACATGTTACGGTTGCTTGAGATATAGGGCGAAAGAGGGAATCATAATCGTACAAAGATGGATTAATGGTGATATTCTAGTATATCGTTTCTCAAGTTGCTTGAGATAACTTTATCTCCAGCTACTAAATCATAATCGTACAAAGATGGATTAATGGTGATAAATGAATAGAGCGAAAGAGGGAATCATAACTATTCAAAGGTGAATCAATTAATATAAGAAAATAAATAAACAAAACGACGTAGTTTTGGAGTGGACGAAAATAAATATATCTTAAATGACTTGAGAAATATTTTCTTATATATATATATATATATGGGATCTATTAATCTCATGTTGCATGAGATAATTATCTCATGCAACAGAGATAAGATTGTGGAGTTCACTACTTTTTCAAAAAAAAAGAAAAAAAAGAAAATATAATGGATCCCACTATTTTGTCTATGATGCATGAAATAATTATCTCATGCAACATGAGATAATTATTTCCCTATATATATATACATATATATATATATATCACCTTTTTATGTGCAATTTTTTTCACATAAGTCATATTTTAGAAATATAAATTAATTTATTCAGTGAGATTGAAGATATTAAGGGGTTTCTTTTTCCCTTTTCCTTGTTGATTCCCAGCATCTTCTAACAAATTCATCAGTCTTCATTTCAAGTTCCATCTTTGAGCCACATTAGACAAAAAAAATCACAAAAGAATGAAAGAATTTTGCTTTTCATAATATATAAACTCTTATGTATTCTAAATTGTCTTATTTAATCATTATTTCTTCAGCACCATGTGACCATGCTCATCCTTATCAAAATAACGTTCAATTAATTCATCCCAGCTTTCATCCACATTACTTTTTTTAGTTGAACTTGAACCAATAGAAGACTCGCCTTGTGATATTTTTGAGCTCTCTTTTCCCTCCTCACCAAAAGTGCCATACTGTAATCGTGGTGTATAAGCATGTGGAACATCTAAAGTTTTAGCCCTTTGTAATGCTGCTTTATATTCATCAGTGTGTCTAGTTAGTGTTTCTTGACGCTCCATCTTTTGCTTTCCAGGGATTTCCATGCTATGATCTTTCTCCAGCATCAGCTGCAGTTGATAGAAGCACAAATGCAAAGGTTATAACCCTTGTTCATAAAATAGCATGCCAAATTAGTGGAACATGATTCCTTACCCTTGCAGTTTTGTGGAAATCTGTATGCATAACTATAAGGACAGCAGAAGTAAAAGGGAGAGGCGCTGTGGAGGTATACAAATTGTTATTACTACCAAATTACATATTCCTCATAATTCATATTCATGTTTTCCAATCATTTCAAATCAGAAGGGCATCAAGAAAACAGGACCAAAAATGAGCTAGTTAATTATGGATTTCACAAGGAAAGCTAAGGGCAAACCCTGGTGCACAAAGGTCTCTGACTTTGTGAGAGTCGGGGTGAGGGTCAATTACCGTTGCATTATCACAAGGAATGATAATGAGGGCAAATAAGGGCAAACCCTAGTGCATAAGGCTCCTTGACTTGCTAGAGTAGGGATGAGAGTTGATTGTACGTAATCTTACCTTTACATTTTTGCAAAGTGACTGTTTCCTATACTCGAATCGGTGACCTTCTGGTCACAAGAAGCAATCTTACCGCTGCTTTCGTCCTCATATCAGTGGGAATGATAGAGACAAGAATTTAACTAATTCCAATAAACACGATTTAACAATTACAAGGATGACAGACTTACATCCAGAGCCCTTTGGGCTTCTTTCTCTATCCAAATGATGGCATGATCAGATGTGGCATTACAAGAAAGGACTATATGCTCAAACCTTCCATCTACTGGCACTGCTGTCCTCACAACTGGGGGAAACCTTCCCATTCTGCATATAAAAGATGTTCAGAACATCAGGTAATGCCAAAACAAAATGCTGTATAAACATCTTAACTTGATCATGTTAACATATTATCATGGAAGAAACAAGAGAATAAACATATGCCAGCCAGACAATCAAAACGTATGTAATTGAGTCTAAACTGCATGACTTCTTAAAATACAGTTAGAATTCAGCATAAGGCATAAGCTCTGCTTCGTTTCCTTAACCATACCTTAAAGGCTTTCTCTCAACAATGTGATAAAGGCGTCCGGGTGCATAGAGTCTCCTTGGATCTTTGAGCATCTTCTCCTCTGATATACATGTATCCCTCATGCACCTCAAGCACAATAGGCATGGCAAACTGCCAGCCAAAGAAAACAACTTTTTTTATCAGTACCAATTATCATACCATGAAAACATTAGTTACACAAACAATGATTTTCACTAAATGCTAGCATCACCTTATCAATGAAGTCTTTTTCTATACAAGTATACAGTCTCACTAATTATGCTACTGCTGAAGTGCAATAACCTTCTGTGAAATAGGCATAAACCATTTTTATAAAAAGGAAAAATTTCCTCACAGAAGTAAGGGTTATATTAGATTTTTTTATTTTTTGCAAAGAAAATCAGGCTTATATTAGTTACTCATACTAAGTTGTGTTGAAACTTGAACCCGGGATGAGAAGGGGATTGAAAATGCAGCATATAATTAAGCATGCTAAAACATTCTTCAGCCTTGTATTGATAGTAAGAGAGCTACAATTGTATAGGTCCTTAAGACATACCAGAAAAGAGACTTGAATATATCTTCCAATGGTGTGGCTATCCTTGGTAAGAAGTCATCCTGATCATGGTAAAGAGTGGTCAATTGCAGAGTTGCAGATTCAGTGCTCATCAAGTACAAGGAAGCATGAAGAAAGATAAGAGTTTGTGATGCAGCTTATGGTCAAAGCTACTAGGCTAAAATTTTAAATTATCTTAAGCATATATAAATATATAGTAAGCTTAAGCAATATTCCATTTATAAGAATAGATCATATACAAATTCATTATGTTCCATATGAAACAGACTTTACACAAATATTTGTCCTGTGCTGAACAGACTAATACTCATGCAAGTCACTCCATAAATTCTTTCTCTCTTAATACATGAATGAGTTCGTTCATCTCTCTCATGAAAGCTACCACAATAGATATATTAATCTTCAAAATACAGAGATACCAATTTGTCAATTACCACAAAACTATTCACACAGATTAAGCAAGTTGAATGGTTACACTATGAAACCTGACGGTGTAACTCATCATTCAGAAAACAGAAAACTTTACTAGCAGAAATCTGTATGACTCTCTGACAAACTGACAAAAAATTTGCCAAAAGTGCAAAATAAATATAAGTTATATTGTACTTTGAGGTTATTGGATTGGGACTCTTCATTTTTCATTCCTTTACCCTAAAGTTTAATAAAACTGGAGCCATTCAAGTAAGGAATCCACACATTCAAAATTTCGCTCCGCTTTGAATAATATATTCACTTTATACACAAGGCAAGAACTTCATACAAACAAACATCCATAGAAGGCAAATTAAAACAAACTAACTTCTATTTAAACCCCGACTAGTTATGGTAGGAGTGATGAAATCTTTTTATGCAGTGTTACCTTTGCATATTTGCAAGGAGGTTGTTTCCCAAGGAGAAGCTTTACCACTACTCTCAGGGCTTTACCTTCTATTTATTGCTAACAAATCCTTTAATCAAAGGGATTTCCACAATGTTAGACTTTTGTGTTATATTATATGTGCTTTCACACAGGATTCATCAACCTACCAAATGAAACATATAAGATTTGATAACTTGCCTGCAGCACAACGGAGTTGATGACATCTGCATATCTGACTGCCAAATTCAGCGACATACACCTAGCCGGTGCCATTGCATAGCACCTGACCCTCTTCCTCTCAATATTTCCTAGTCTATCTCTATTCTGCACCACCACCAAGCTCAACATAGCTGCTACACCAGATCCAAGAGAATGTCCAACAAAAGTCAAAGTATAATTTGGATGCTTCTCTACCAACTCCTTCAAAACTTTACATTCAGCTTCCAAAACCCATTCAGCAGCCTTCAACAACCCATTGTGAACATACCCCCCATCAAACTTTTTCTTCCCCAATCTATTGTCCAATAGAACTGCATAGTCACTCTCCTTTGCCAAATTTAGACCCCTAATGGCAAGAACTATATCAGCATGATCATGATCAAGATACAGTATATATGGTGGAGCCTTCCCTTTGGTATCTTCGTATGTCATTTTGTGTACTAACCAATCAGGGTTAATTCCATACCCACCAGGAGGTGCCCAAATGGGGTGGCGAAGATCATCTTCATACACAGCTAAAATATGGCGGCAAAGGCGAGGGATTGGCTCAAATTCTTCTGCAGTGGCAAAGCCCCAAGTCTCACTATCATGGCCTGCAGTATGAAGACATCTTTTCCAAGCCCAACGAGCACAAGCCAGACAGTACACACACTCAACAAGAGGAACGCAAAACATGATTGACATAGTGCCTACAAACTATGCATGCTAAGCTAAGTAGGCTTAAAACCAATATGGGATTTGCACCAAATAAATTTCCTAAATGCAATTACTTTCTTATACAGAAAAACTACTCCTTTGTAACCGAAAGGTCACGAGTTCGAATCCAAAGAGCAATATGCAAGGGTAAAGCTGTGTGCAAGGATTGCACTCACCACACTCGTGGTAGTCAGGGTTTGATGGAGAGTGATTTTAATGTTACAAATATCAAAATCCAAAAAAGGAAATTGAAGTTTAAACTTAAATGGTACAATATTATTCTCTTTCTTGTATAACAAATTGAACACACAGATTGTCAAAATTGTGGATCTAATATTGATTTCAGAAAAGCAGCAGATGCACTTTTTTTTAAAAAAGAAAAAAAGTGTGGGCTGAAAGGTCAACGGGGTATATGACTGCAGTCTATACACAATTCAGTGACATAAATTTGTGCCATAACCATAATGACCAACAAAGAAACTACATGCAATAAACAACAATTGTAACTTCCTTGCTATAACAGTTGATTCTTCTCCAGCAACAGATGCGTATCACAAAGTGATTGTGGAAATTATACAATATGAAGAATGCATCAAACTCACAAAAATTTACTACGGAAGTAAATAAATATTAAAACTTGTGAGTAACGATGCATTCCAGGGAGACCCAGAAACTGAAACTTGGCACCTGGTGATGAAACTTGAGCCAATGATGATCTTTGATCTAGTACAAGAGCAAGCAACAATGAAGGAAAGGGAAAAAAGGGAAGACACCCAGAACCAAATTTTAATTTTGATTAATGATTAAAGAACCCAGAACTCCAAGGAAGGAAATTTCAGTGGAAAGGCAGAAAATCAGACATTGTCATAGGTTGTCATGGTCTGAACTCTGAACATGACCTCGGACAAGCTTCTGAGGTATGGGAAAGGACACAAAAAGTTGGTCTTTCTTTGGCTTGTGATGGGTACGCTGAGTTGGAAACTTAATAATTTGAGGTTAGATCCTTTGATAGCACATGTGTGAAATTTAAAATTTTGACACCTAGGAGAGCACATTAGATCAACCAACGTCTCTTGCTTAAATTGGAAATGGATCCTTTCATCTGTCAAAAAAATATGATACGGTCGTTTGGAAAGATCACAACCATACAAAGTTAAATCAACGGTTATGATTTCGTAACTATTTATTTTATCATTTTTTCTCTCTCCTTCTTTGTTATCATTGATCCACCTTTGTGTGGTTATGATTCTTCACATGTCATGGTCATGTGAATTTTCACATGAGAAGATCCAGATCCGCTTAAATGAGAGTCGTCCTTTATCTTTTTTAACTAATAACTCTTGGATAGATGTCAAATTTTAAATTTGATTATCAAAAATCCTACCTCTAATACTTTTATATATTGCGGAATTTTCAATTTTTAAGTTTCGTTGCAAAGACCAAAAGGGAAGCCATACCTTCAAGTCAAAATCTGACGAAGCACGTGACTGTTTGGGATTTGCGTTATTGACTTGAAAAAATGCTGCTACATTTGCTTTCTTTTTGTAAAATTTATTAATTTTGAATTTGATATTTATTATTGTTATGAATTCATATACGTGGCCCATTTAATATACTGCTCAATAAAAGGCAATAAAAATAAGAATTTAATATAATCAAAGAAAAATATCAATTAAAAATATTAATCCTAATACGACAACTTCAAATATGGGCTTCAACTATAAGAGGCACAAAAGGTCTATAATTTCAATACTTATAGGTAAATTATAAATAAGAGATAAAATCTATTCTCTCTACTTACTGTTATGTTGTCACTATTCACACACTACCTTTTTGGCAAAAGTTGTTTATTATTTACTTGTGCACAGTGATCTGTCATATTCAAGGATATCTAATTTATAGATACCTTAAAAAGAGCACCAAAATCCAAGATAAACTCATTAGTCCTTTGGGCTAGATATTTCTATCTTCAGGATAAAACATTTATGTTATAGGAGATAATTTATCCCATACATACATAAAAAATATGTAGAGCCATATAAAGAAAAGAGAAAAAAAAAATATATGAGCATTAAATATTATGTGTAGGAGATAATTTTATCACATATAACATGAGAAACATTAAATCCTTATTTATTATTCGATAAAGCCTTCAAGATTTTGATAAATAATTTAGCTTTAGTTTATATTAATAAGATTCACATAAAATTTTATTTTATAATAAAAAATATTATACCATGTGAATTAACTTGGAGGGAGCTATTCCAGTTTAATCAATAGTTTTGGGTTTAAGTCCGAATATTAATTGCGTTAAAATTTAATATGGAGAGTTTTACTAGTTGTATATCATACCCAACTCAAATTAGAATTAATGAGCACTCGTTAATGATAGAATACTGAATAATTTATATCAAACAGAAAATAAAAAATATTAAAGTGTCTATGTAAATAATTGCAAATTCTGATGGAATTTTTGCCACGAGCAATGTTCGAGATTTATTTTGACGCTCCTGACGCATAAAATATTGGGTGGAGCGGAGGAAAGATAGTGAAAAAAAAATTGAGGAAAAATAAAAGAAAAGGGAGAATTTTCTTAGGTCTTGTTTGGGAGTTTGGAGGGGAAGGAAAGGAAAGCGATCCAAGGGAGAGGAAGGGGAATGAAGGAAAGGAAATTGAAGGGTATTCTCTTCCTGAGAATTAAAAAAAGGGATAAATAAGGATCATGTTGTAGGTAAAGAATTGGTATCATGCAATCACTACTGACAAAATAAAGTTAATGAACAGAGTGGCTCTTCAACTTTTTTTATTATTCTTTATCTTGTCGTTTATTTTGTACGAAAATTTTTTTATCATAATACATGACGAAACCAAAACCCTTGAAAAATGGTAAGGGAGAAATTAGAGGGTTAATGAGATATTTTTACAGTTTTACCCTTTTTTAAAATTAATATAATTATTATATTTTACAAAATAAATTAAATTTAAAATTTTTAAACAAAATTATTTATGCATTTTTTGGACTACTAAAAAAGATCATATTTTCGACGAAATTTCTACATGGCAAACGACAAAAATTTCGTCAAAAAATTACTTTTCAGTCAGAATAATTTTCATCGAAAGGCGAAAGAATTTTTATCTAATGAAATTTTTTACAAAAATAAATTTTCGGTCAAAATTTTTGAAAGAATTTAGTTTCTGACCAAAATTTTGATGAAAATTATCTCTTAAATACTTTCAACTCAAAAAAGGATTCTGTAAAAAAAATTGACGGAATATTTTCCGTCCAAAATTTTTGATGAAGACGTGTCCTGACGAAAATTTCGACGGAAATTTTTTTGTCTAAAATTTTGAGGGAAATATTTTTGTCGAAACTTTCGACAGAATTAGGATTCCGTAAAGAATTTTGATGAAATATTTTTTTCGTCAAAATTTTTCGATGAAAATATTTGTTGTCAAAAATTTTGGCAGAAATGTTTTTTGTCAAAAAATATGATGAAAATATTTTAGTCAAAAACTTTTATGGAATTTAGATTCTGTAAAAAAAAATTGACGAATTTTTTTTCGTCAAAATTATTTACAGAAATAATTTTCATAGAAAATTTCTACGAAGGTGGTTTTTTGTCAATATTTTGAAGGAAAAAACTTTGACAAAAAAAGATTCTGTAAAGAATTTTGACAAAAAAATTTCAATCATATTTTTTTACAAAACTGTTTTCTGTCACAAATATTTAAGAAAATATTTTTCATCCAAAATATTCACTGAAAATGTGTTCCGTTAAAAAATCTCTATGGAAATGTGTTTCATTAAAAATTTCGACTGAAATTTTTTTTGCCAAAAAGTTTAACTAAAAAGTTTTCAACGAAATTTAAATTTTGTAAAGAATTTTGATGAAATTTTTTTCCGTGAAAATTTTTTGATGAAAATATTGATGGAAATATTTTTTGTCAAAAATTTCAATGAATATATTTTTTTGTGAATATTTTGAGGAAAATTTTTTGACGAAATTTAGATTCCGTAAAGAATTTTAACAAAAAAAAAATTCGTCAAAATTATTTAAATAAATATTTTTGGTTTCAAATTTTAAGGAAAATATTTTTCGTCGAAAATTTTTGCGCAGAATTTTGATGGAAATATTTTCCATAAAAAATTTTGACGTAATTATTTTACGTCGAAACTTTTCGATGGAAATGCATTTCGTCAAAATTTTAGACGAAAATATTTGTGTTGAAAGTTTTGACGGAATTTAGATTCTATCAATAATTTTGACTGAACTTTTTTTCCGTAAAAAATTTATGTCAGTGATAAGGCAAAATCTGGTTCCGTTTCTAATTTCGTCTTTAGTTTTGACGGAAATTTTTTGAGGTATATGATTTTCATCAAAAATTTCATCACTATTTTTTACAAAATATTTTTTGTCGATAAATAATATCGGGTATTGGAGAGTTTTCTAATAATGTCACATTTAAAAATGATTCACATTTATGTAGTTTTCACATTTTAATGCTAAGGGTAGATAAATAATTTTTAATATTTTTCCACTCAAACCCCTCAAATTGGGAAAACTTTAATTTTAAGAAGAATGAGGGTTTAGTAAAAATATTCAATTCCTTCCCCTCATTATCTTAAACTCACAAACAAGGGGGGAGGGCTTACTAAAATCCTCCATTTCCTTTCCTTCTCCTCTTAAAATCAACTCCCAAACAAAGCCTTAAGGAGAACCTTCCCGATCGAGGAGCATCTTAAAAATTTCCCCAACGTTCAAAGTGTGCAACTACTCCCATGTTTAAACTTTTAAGATTGTTGCGCACTCACCACGTTGAGTATCATTCTGAGTTTGGAAGTTGGAACCACGCTAAACCGAAAATTTTTGTATACTCTTCGAATCATATTTATTAAAACCAGACCGACCCGGTCGGGTCGACCCGAAAAATGGTAAACAGGTCCGGTTGAAGCAATGAACCGGTCATGCATCAGAACCGGTGCGACCCGGTCTGACCCGATCGGTTTTCATAAAAAATCGGTGACCCGGTCTGTTAACCGGTGACCCGGCCCGGTCAAAAAAAAAAATCCAAATTTTTGTTTTTTTCAAAAAAAATCATAATAGCCATATTTGAATATTTTTTGCTTATTGACTTACATAAATTATGTATCTACAACACTAATATTATCTCAATTATGTACTATGCATAAAATTTTGAATTAATTTATAATTAGAGATGTCATTTTTTGAACCTAAAGCCCCGTATCACGATCATTATATTTTTGTTTGATTTTTTATTTGATAATAATATATGATTTATTATTTTTTGTATTAAAATATTTGAAATTTTTATCATTTTTTTAGATATTTGAGTATGTTTATAATTTTTTAATATAAATTATAAAATTACATATAATTACCGAGTCATGCGGTTGAACCAGTGACCCAATAACCTGGTACCTCGACTGGGTCAATGACCAGGCCAATTTTAATAACGTTGCTTCGAATAACGTTTTGAGTAATAACATCTATTTCACTTTTTCTAAGTTTTAGAAGAAAATGGGAATAGTTTTTTTAATTGATATTCAACATCCATCACACTTCAAAAATTTGAAAGAGTTAGAGCTGGTTCCTAGTAACTTACATGTTACAGGCTTGATAGCTTACCTTAATGATATATCAATATATGATTAGAGGGATGAATTTGGTAGTGTAGCATTAATGGTTAAGGATTGGCTCAATTGATAATATGGATATATTCAAAGGAAAAAGTGTGTATCATTTTAAAAGGATATAAAGTTGTGTCATTTTAAAAAGTGAGAGAAAGAGATAGATAAAGAATGTGAGAGAGTGGACAAAAAAATATAAAGGTGTGTGTTTCATCTCTTTGTGAGAGTGAAATGATATAAGTTGTGTCATTTAAAAGGACAAACAATTTTCCTATATTCAAAAACCGTTTTACAAATTTATAATTAGCTTTTTTTTTTTTTGGATTCTACCAGCATTCGAACCAGGACCAGTATGGTGTTGTCCTCCAACAAGCAACAACTACCACATTGACCACGAATGCTAGTAATTTATAATTAGCTTTTATTATACTTAAAAAAAATAAAGTCATTATATTAATAAATATGTAATCTATACATTTTCTATTCCACTAAATCAATAAAAAAACAAATAAAATAAATTTCTATGTAAAAATCGTTCGTACCAATTTTCTATTAAAAATATGAAATATTTTTTTAAAAAAACAAGTACAAAGCTTTTATTTAAGTATCTTACCTTTCATAATTGGTCCCTTAACTTCAATAGTTAATTGCTGAATTTTGTCTTCGAATGAGCTTTTTCTTCTAAAAAAGTTATTTTTTTTAAAAAAAAGAAAAAAAGTCTTTTTGAGAAATTTTAAATCATAAATTAAAATAAAATTTAAAATATTGTTCTGTTTTTTTAGCGAAGGGTTGGTTGTTTTCGAAAAAAGCATAAATTATAAGATAATACAATTTTTTAAAATATAATTTTGACATGATCCTATCAGTCCCATTATCTCTTCTTATCCTATTATAATTGTGTTTTTTTTAGCTAAGGGAGAGTTTGGGAGAGGAGAAAAAAAAATTTACCAAGAAAAAATGATTTCCGGTAATATAATAGGAAAAAAATTTCCACAGAAAAGTTACTAAAAGGTGTTTGGTAGACCAAATTTTTTTTCGGGAATATTGGGTTAATTTTACTAATTCTATGTTTGGTTGATTGTAAAATATTGATGAAAATTTGAACTGAAATTATAATATTACCATGCAATTTTCATTTGACCTTTGCATTTTTTCTCTCTCTCTCTCCGGGGTTAGGCATTTGGCAGCATTCCATGTGGTGGGAAAAAAAAAAAATTCATCCCAACAATGGAAATCTTTGATAGCAAATTCATGTAGAAAAGCAATTTCCGGGAAAAAAAATATACTCGGGCATCTTATATTTTTTTGCTATCAAATGTGACTTTTTTATTTTTCCCAGCAAGCTTTCCCAAGTTTTTAAAAATAAACATGGTACCAAACACTCTAAAGCCAGGCTTTCCCAAGTTTTTAAAAGTCTTCCAACAATTTATCACTTTATCACTTTATAATTAAACATCTCCCTCTTCTTGATTTTCATTCGTACGAACTTTGTATCTGTATAGAGTTTTTTTTTTCGTGTAAACTTTCAGCTATAAAATTGCATATTTGTGATAAAAAGCAAAAAAATTTGAGTTCTCATAGTGGCCGGGTCATCTAATGGAAAATAATTGAGAGAAATTGAAAAAAAAAAAAATCCAGTCACCCTAAACATCAAAACATTATTAGTGTTTCTATACGTAAATGAATGCACTATCTTGTATAATAGAAATATACCGAAATCATAGCTCTACTAATTGGAATATTATATTACATATTAATGTTTGTGGATCGTCTTATTGACCGGCCTCAAATCACATTCTCCAAATTTCACATTTGTATAACTCTCAGATATTCTGTTAAAAAAAATTCACATGTCCTTTTTAGTAATTTTGTACATAAAAAGTGTGTTTTTTTATTTTAACATTCAAACGACTTTTTTATATAAAAGTAATTTTTAGATCATATATCCCAACGTAAACAAAAGTTACCTTTAAAAAAAATAATACATAAAAATTAGTAGTCAAATATTAATTTGACTACTAATTAGTAGTCAAATATTAATTTTTGACTAGTGTTTTCTCCTTGCTGTAAAGGGAATATGACCCTTTCTCCTTCATTAGGTTTAGAATGAGCTTTCTCCTAGATCCAATCTTTAATATATTGGAAGCTTTCATTAATTGGTACATAATCTTATTTTTAGTGTATGCGGGGCTCTTATTTTTAATTTCTCTTCTCCTTATAAGTAGAAGTTCAACCAAACATAATTTTATAAAAACCCTTATAATAAAAAAAAAACTTTTTTAAAAAAAAGAAGAAGAAAAATCTATAGGAAAAACTTTTTTTAAGATATATGTCAGCTTTTTGGAGTTCTCACAATTTTTTTTCAATTATACCCTTATTCTAAATTTTTATTTATAAATTTTATCAGTTACCTTAATAATAACAAATCATTATAACTTCCTTCCTTCAAAACCCTAAGAGCAATTTTATACAATTATCAAACAATTTTTAGATATATGTTTTAAACTAACTCTTTTTAATTTTAATTAGAAATAGCTTTTACCTTAAAATAATGTGCCCCTTGCATTGAAAATAAAAGTCTTTAGTTTGGTTGCGGTCATATATTTTTCTTTTTGAATTTTTTTGTTAATTTAGTGTGACACCTCTCCTGTATGCATCCAAGGGAGATGTCTCCTAAGCGAATTAGAGACGTAACGTCATTGAATTACATACTGAAACTGCATTGTTAAGTCACAATATAAATTCTTGCATTGAAATCTGACTGTACAAAATGAAACAGTGTGAAACTTGATAAAAATACATTGCTTGCTGAAATAGTAGTTTTACAGAAAACTTGCTTGTCTTGCGAAAAATCTTAAAAATTGAGCTTTCAGAATTTTGACATAAAATTTATATGATTACTCGATCAGTTTAGTCGAGTCAAATAAAATCACAAAAATGGCAAAATTCTTCTTATTAAAATTTTAAGTTTTTTTTACCAAAAAAAAAAATTTAAGTTTTAACACAACTACATACATATTATCTAAGATTTTAACTCAGATCACGGATTAAATTTCACCAACCCACATAATTTCCTGTCATAATCTTTGATAAGTCCTCTGCTATTCTATAAATGAATTGGGCCAGATTACTCACGGAATAAATTATGACCATGAGAAATGGGCTTTGGCCCAAAAACAGCATTGGGGCCTTGGCAAGTTTGTCATGTTAATAAACTTCAAGACCCGACCCGGGACGTAGCTAGTTCTCTACCCGTAATAAAAAGCAAATCAAATCGATAACTTCAAAACCCTAATTCCGATTATCCCACAAGCACTACTGCAACAGGTAACTAAACCCTCTTCCTTTCAATCTTCTCTGCTACGCTATCCTTAGGAAAATCAAAGAAAATTTACAATGACACATCTTTTGCCATATTGCAAGTGCTTTTCTAGATTTTCCGATTCGTTAAATGTACCAAATTTGGGGTGTTCTTGTTGTGCAATTCCTTTATGGGTTTTTGTTTCGTAGGAAGAAAGTCAGCATTTTTATTGTGGTAGATTAGGTGCGTGTTTGGATTCAGCTTATTTTGATATAAGAAAAGCTGGCTCTTTTTTCTTTTTTTCTTTTTTTTTTTGTTTTGGTGGGTGGAGGGTTGTAACAATTAATCAAATCCGAATGCACACTAGATTGAATCAACTTAAATATTGATTTTTGCTCTTAATTTTTTTTTCTTTCGAATTTCAACCGTGAAAATGGTTGTGTAATTTTTGAATTGTTTCGGTTTTTGTTGTTTTTGGATCAGGGAAATGGCTCCTAAGCAGCCAAGTACGGGTCTCTTTGTTGGATTGAATAAAGGTCACGTTGTCACGAAGAAGGAATTGCCTTCACGCCCCTCTGATAGGAAAGGGGTAAGTTTGAGTTTTTCCTGAAAATTAAAATTAGTCTCAGATTTGCACGGTTTAGATTGTGAATGTTATATATATACTTAGATGTATTTTATCATCCAATGTATTGACTTTGTGTCTAATGTTTCTGATTTTCTTTCTGGTTGTAGCAAGCACAGTTTTTGGTTTCCGTTGCTTTTTGTATTTTGTTATATTTCTGAATTTTATATGGGGATATATTATAAATTTATTAGTTTCCCTTAGTAGTAAATCAAGTCCCTTTGTACTACAGTACAGCAGAGAGTTTTTAAAAAATTTGGGACAGTATTCAAAAGTTTAAAACCTTGGTTGAATTTTTTTTGTTTCCGATTGAGGCCAGTTTATTGTAAGTCTAGATTATGTTTTTCTTTCCTTTAACCTTTATATAGATAGTGTAAACCTAGTTGCATGTGAAGTTGTTGAAGTTGAAGGGTTCAACTGCTGTAGAACTAATTTAGAGCAAGTGATGATACAATTTTGCAATTAATGTTCTTGGCTTTGCTTATTCTTTATGCGGTCCTGAATATTTTGTCTCAAGCAGAAAACTAGCAAGCGGGTGCACTTTGTAAGGAACCTCATCCGTGAGGTTGCTGGTTTTGCACCTTATGAAAAGCGTATAACTGAGTTACTGAAGGTTGGAAAAGATAAGAGAGCACTGAAGGTTGCCAAGAGAAAGCTTGGAACCCATAAACGTGCAAAGAAGAAGCGTGAGGAGATGTCCAATGTTCTCAGAAAGATGAGGTTGTTCATTGTTCTTTAGTCAATATTGTTGTATTTGTGTTTATCCATACGTTATGATTTATTGATATATGATCTGATTATCATTCTTTAAATGTAGCCTTGATAGTATTATTGCTTATGTTATTTCCTAATTGTATGCAGGTCCGGTGGAGCCGGTGATAAGAAGAAGTAAGTCTTTTCTTCATTCCTGATGGATCTATTTTTTGATAGACAAGCCGTCTTAATTTACATGGTTCAATTAGTCGAGTGTAATTTTCTGTTTGAAATATTTAATTTGACTGTTATGGAAAGTACTTATTGCTTGTTTTCTGTAATTTACTATTTATTTGAGGGAAAAACTTTTTTAATATTGCTCCTGCGCAGTTAAAAGAATATGTTGTCTTTATTTTGTCTGTTTCTGCAAATCATTTTGCATTCCCTTATGTTATATGTTAGTGAAGCAGAAAGATTACTACCTTGGTGCACAGGTATTTGTTTTGAGTAGTAGTTATGTAACTGGATTGACCATATTATTGATATTAATATCAATGAGATGTACCTAGTTTAATACTAATCGTATGATTGTCCTATTAATTTGGGATAATTCATACAAGGGCGTTATTCCTAATTCTTGGCTGCACATTTCAGTAGTATAGAACGAATCTTAGAATGGGGCGTTTAGCGAATTCTTGTTGAAAACGATCTACCATTTAGACATGTTTCTTTAGGGTTTGCTCAATAAGGATTTCTGCAACCAAATTGCCATGATCCTATTTTCACGTGGTGCAAAATCAACTTCATAATTCATATAAGAGTTTGTTTTTTCTGCGGTTAATGTAGATAACTTATTTACATTGAATTTAAAATGATATTGTTTTGATACGGAACTCAAAGTATTTTTGTAATTATAATTTATTTTAGGCTTATAATAATTTTTTTCATTATATTTTTAAATTTTTCAACTTAAAACGATGTTGTTTTAGAAGTGAATGTAGATAATTTATCTACATTCATTGTAGAAACATTAAAGGATTCATATAAATATATGAATATTTTTTTTGCAAGTCAAAGAATGTTACATGTTAATGTTTTCTTATTCTAATGCAGCAGTCTGTGTTTTGATACTCGATAGTCATTACACGAGGAGCTGAATTCATATTTAAAAAGTCAATCTTTTAAAAAAAATATTAAAAAGAAAACCTCATACCCTCTAAATTTTGCACAATATGGAATTTTAAGATGCGGACATTTCTACGCACATTTCCTTCTCGTATTTTGTTTGGATCATAATAAATAAACGGTTAAAATGTTCTTTTACGAAAATTTTGTTTTTCTGTAGTCAAAATTTTATTTAATAACCGCTTACATTTTTAACAAATAAAAACAACCGTCTTTCTTCGTTGATTAATCATTTTGATCTTTTTTTTTTTTTACCATTTTATTCTCCTTCCAAATTACATAATAATCTATCTTATATGTTAAACTATATATCAGTATATCCTTATTTAATTAAACCTTAGTCCTTAATAAGACAATTACTCAAATTTTGATCAAACAGGAGGGAACAGACTGATAAAAAAAATGTAAAAGAGTGACAAGATGGTCAATAAACTGTCTTTCTTCATTAAAAAGAAAGTAAAAGAATTCATTAGGATTAGTCTAATGATAAAGAATTTTGGATAGTTAATATGATGTCATAAGTTTAAATATCAGTAATCATTACATAAAAAAAGAAAAAGTAAAAGAATCGAAAGAGCTAAAAGATTTCAGTAAACAAATGTGGTTATAAAAGAGTTAGGAAAAAAATATCTAAAGTAGTGTTTGGTTGAAGGTTTATTTTGGGATTGATGGGAAAGTGTAAGTGGATATTGGAAAATACTACGTTTGGTTCAGGTTTTTTCAAAAAATACCAGGCAAATAAGATAGATGGGAAAATAACTTTTGTGTTGATTTTTGGATGAAATTCACTGTTACAGAATACCACTTGAGATGTGGTATTTTGAGATAACTGGGGAAGTGCAAAAACAGGTGCAAAGTTTTTTCCGAACATAGATTTTGCATATTTAAATAAATTTTCCTGGTAATATTTGTGTCAACCAAACAACTTTTTTTACATTTTTCTACCAAACTCATTTTTCAATCATTTCCCTATCAATTATATTTTTCTAGTAAAAAAAAATTTCTCCCGAACCAAACACTACCTAAATGCATCTTAAAAGAGTTATTACTATGAACGTAATCAACATGTGTAATCAATTTTTATGATTAGTTTTTAAAACGTATGTTCAAGATCATTTCATTATCTCCTCAGTCCTCACATCAATCTATGTCAACTACTAATGTCATAAAAGTGATTTTTTTTAAATTCCATTATTTTAATAATTCATTTGAAGCAAATCAGTGAGTATCCCTTCAACCCGAAAAGAAAAAGAGAGCAGCATAAATATGGAACTAATTCTGAGTCAAGTGCCATCAAATTAAACTTTCACCATAAAAATAACGCATTAGTTACTATTGAAGTAGCAATTTTATGCAGTGTTCTTAAACTCGACTCGGGTATCGACCCGGTCGGGATACTGGATCATTGGTCGGATCTGTGAGTCACTGATCGGACCAATTGACTCGGATATATATAGATATATAAAAATATATATAAATATGAATATATAAATTCAATTATATTCTTCATATCTAAAATGAATTGAATTTTTAAATAAGCTAAAAAACATGAAGCATAAATAAATAAAAATGCACGGTATTACTATGTCAATTTAAATTGCAACTCAAAATCCCCATAAACATACATCTCAATAACATTAAACTCATATTTTTCAAACATTAAAATGTCATAGGTCAAATTCTCTAATATATATTCCGCAAATTGTTTCAGTATTTGAAACTAAAATTTGAGGTCATTGTAGAAGAATATACTAGCAAATAAAATTACAAAGTTTTTAAAATGAGTTTCATATTTTTTTCTGATAAGATGAAATAGTTTTGGTTTTTTTTTTTTTTAATGCATGACCCGACCGGGTCACCGAATTTGACCGGATCGATGCATGATCAGTCCAATGTTTGATCCGAAATGATCTGATCACTAGTTCGCCAGGTCAGGTTGGGTTTTACAACAGTAATTTTACGTTCCTTACAAATGGGCGATCAAGCAAGGACTCATGTTAAAAATCTTACATGATATTATCATATAATTTTTTATCTCTTTTTTATAGATATTCACAAATTTTATTTGAACTCCATCTATTTTCAATCTGATGTAAAATTTAAACATTTCGCAATCAAATACATATTCTTTAAGAATTAAATTGATTTATTCTCTTTTTTAATTTTAAAGCAAAACAGGTGGTAGTGATTAGCAGCGAAGAAAGACTGTTGCACCGGTTCTGATTAGCTCATACAAGAAAACTTGACTTATAATTGGGCCTTAGACCCAAAATAGATAGGGCCTGGGCCGGTAATTTCACCTCAATGCAAAATTGGATCCGTAACCCGACCTGACCCAACAAGAAGTGGCTTCTCTTTCTCTTCTCTGTAATAAAACGCGAAGCTGATACTCTCAAAACCCTAGTTCTTCCACAACCAAACACAGCGAAATGGCTCCGAAGCAGCCAAGTACGGGTCTTTTTGTTGGATTGAACAAAGGACACGTTGTTACCAAGAAGGAGTTGCCTCCACGCCCCTCCGATCGCAAGGGGGTAAGTTTTATTTTTTATTTTTTATCAGGGCACAAATTTTAATGGCGCGCTTCATTTTAGATTCCAAATTCTTTAATGTTATAATTAGATAAACACTACAATCATTCATATATGGTGACTGTTATGTGTTCAGATTTTGCTTTATGTATTGGTTTCATATGAGAATCTGTTGAGTTCAGTTTGAGTTTATTGGATTTCTTATTAGGATATTAAGTTCCTTTAAGCTGCAATTACGTTGTGTCTACAATACATCTGCTTCTTCTTCTTCTTCTTCTTTTTTAAATTAAAAAAATCATTTTTGTTTTTCAATATATATGGGGAATGTTACAGTGACTATCATTTTAGGCTTACCACTTTTACTAGTTGTTTGATTACCATTGAATCAATTTAAAATCAATGTCAGTTAGTTCTTCCTCTTTTTCAGTAATTATTTCAAATTGATCGAGTTAGTAAGAGTAGTAAGTATAGCCGATATATATATATATATATATATATATGTGTGTGTATAGGATTTAACACCCTGATGTCAAATTTTGAAATTTGACACCAAATCCCAACCATTGATTTCTGCCAATCATTATTTATCATTTATTAGGAATTAAACTTATTAATTACTATCAATTCCCAATAAATGATAACTTGAGATTTGGTGTCAAATTTCAGTGTCAAAGGATCCTACTCCATATATATATAATTTGCTTCTTATTTACTAGGCTCATAAAGTGATGTTACTGTTGATGAAAAACTGAAAATAAAAAATTTAAATTCAAGCCATGTCTTTCTACATGCCAAATATTTTCGTGTTAATTAGCATTTTTCTATGCCAAAACCCAATAGTTTATGTTGTTAATATAATAACTGTTTATGGCCAGAGCTAAGAGAAGCTTAAAGTTTGAAGATTAGTATTTAGAAGCATATCTTTGCTAAGATGTCTTAAATGATTTTGAATGAAGTATATAATATACAGGAAAGAAGGAAATTGTTGAAGGGGTCTGCTACCTCTGTAGAAGTAATTTTGTTTTTGATATTCTGTGCTGTGCTTGCTTATCTTTTGTATGCCTCAAACAGAAAACAAGCAAGCGGGTGCACTTTGTAAGGAACCTCATTCGTGAGGTTGCTGGTTTTGCACCTTATGAGAAGCGTATCACTGAGTTGCTTAAGGTTGGAAAAGATAAGAGGGCTCTGAAAGTTGCCAAGAGAAAGCTCGGAACACATAAACGCGCAAAGAAGAAGCGTGAGGAGATGTCCAATGTTCTCCGAAAGATGAGGTTGCACTTCATTCTTTTTGTTAATGCATTACCATTTTGTTTTGTTAATCTTATTATTACTTCTTGAAAGTAGACTTCTTATGTTATTAATTGTGTGCAGGTCTGGTGGAGCTGGTGATAAGAAGAAGTAAGTTATATTTATTTCAATCCAGTTTCACAGGGTGGATCAATGTTTTGAAGGAAAAGCTGTCTTAGTTTTGTCTGGTTCAATTATTTATTGTACTTTTACTTCCAGAAATTGTCTTGTTTTGAGTATCTGATTTATGCAAAGTACCATGGTTTTATGTTGTGTTTTATTAGAAACGAGTTAACACCTTTTGCCCCTTTTACAAAACATATCCTTGTTCTGTATTTTTATGCAAACCTTCGAATGTTATGTGCAATAGTGCAACACAAAAATACACAGTTGTGTACAACTATTTATTTTGGTAGGTTTCTTGTTTTTTATCTGGCTTTAGTTTGAGATTAATGTGATGTTAATGTTGATGTTTTACTGATATTACTGGGTTAGTTGTATCAATGATTGGCCATACATTTACTACCCTAAAGGGGAATGCATGGCCAATATATATAACGTTTTATTATAGTATGTAAGTTTGGAGTATTCATTCTAACGTTCTAGTTAATTAAATTCATTAATATGTCGCTGCGAATTGTAGTAGCATAGAGGAAATTTTAAGAAATGTGAAGTAATAACAGATAGTATTTTTCATATATCTTCTCAACTACTTATGCTTCTTGAAGAGCTCGGAGAACTATAAAATAATCAGCACTTAAAAAAAGAAATCACTTTATATCTAACGATGTTTCGCAGTAAACCCTCGTCACACTGAGCAAAATCAACCTCCTTGAGCATAGAGGTTTCGTGCGAAATCCTTTCTATTGAATTCGAATGCTGGATACTTTCCTCGAACCTATTCATTAAGAAGCTTCTTATAAAGAGACTTTTTAAGTTGGTCATAATCCTCTTTTTTTAAGTTAAAAGATATTTTTAAGTTAAAGTTAAAAGAAAGAGCTTAAAAAAAATTAAAAGCTATTTGGTGATTATATAATTTTTTAATTTAAAAGTTACTTAAAAGTCTCAAATCTCATTTTAAGAAAAGTTGATAAGAGCTTACAAAAAGCTGTTGTTAGGAGTTTTTGGCTTTAATTTTCTTCTTCGTTATAAAAAAAAACTATTATTATAAAAACTTTTGTGAACACTTATTTGACCTAACTTCTATTTATAAGGAGAAGAGAAGTTGAAAAAAAAAAAAAGATCCAAATAAGCACTAAACATGCTTAAAAAAAAGAATAGCATTCAGGCTGATTATCCCGAAATTTGATCTTTGGTTAATTTATTTAACTTCACATGAACGAAATGAGCTACAGACATTTGAGCAATCTAGGCAATATGCTGAATTACAACAGATTATTCCTCAACTACAATTGCTACTGGTTTCAATTATACAAAACATGGCTTCACATGAATATATTGCCATATTCCAAAGGCAGTTCTTGGACGTTAGAACTGCCAATGTTCCTACATCATGTCTGGCACACGTGTCTATTGAAGCACTAGAAAAAGAAAAAACAAAAGTAAATTACAGTTTCGGCCAATCAACAACCAATAAGCTTGAAAAAAATATTGGAGGAGCAACAGAGATGGATCAGGTCTTGAACTTTTGGGTGAACTTTTGAGTGACTCTCTCAACCCCTTCTCTACAATCACCAGCAGCCCGCTTTGCACCTTCTTTGACAGCAAATCCAAGTTCAAGGGCACCTTGCTGCAACTCAATGGCTGACTTACCTGCCTTTGACATGACAGCTTCTCCTAATTCTTCAGCCTGTTTTCCTGTTTTGGATGCCCATTCCCTCAATTTTGATATAAATTGGGAAACCATGTGGATGATTTTGTCAATTGTATCTCTAGATTTCCCTCTGATATCTGCTGCCATTTTTTTGAGCTTGTCCAATAAGGTCTCAGCCCTGTCAACTGTTCCTTGAACTGAGAATTGCTCTCCAGCATTGAGCCATGTAACTCCAGCAGAGGACTCCTCACGTAGGTCATCACCAACTACCACTTTGATTCCATGCCTCTCCCAACGATCTCTAGCCTCCTCTAAGGCTCTTGCTTGTTCTCTTACTCGTTTGGCCTCATCCTCTGCCCATGCCCTGAGTCCAAGAATTAACATAAACATATTTGAAATCATTTAATCAGATACTAATAAGCTCAGAACTATGATTTTATTACTGGACAATACAAGAGGCAAACATGAGTTTTTTATGAACTGTTTCATTTAACTGTATAAGAAACATCTGTCAAAAGGAATTAGCCTCACAGAAGGACTTAATGTAACTGTGGTGCCAAGAACATTAGCATCACAAATTCAAGTAGATCTAGATAAAATGTGGACTACAAATAAATTTGGAAGCAGTTAAGATAGTACTTAATTGTTGCACTAAAAAATGCATGCAATGGCAGAAAGGACCACACATATGGTGATCATTGGTGTAATCAACATATTATTGGTGTCAGGAAGCTGTGTAATTAGTTTTATTTTTCATGCTTCATGAATTCATTTATTTCTGAACATGCGCGGTAGTTGGCCAAGCATATCCCAGTAATGACCATGGTTGCTGCGATGTGAGGCTATGAATAGCTCATGGGCTTGATTTTGTTATTTTTAGAAATGATACATGCGGACCTGTCAGATTTCAGTTTAATTTTATTATTTCTCTTATTGGGAGTTACGACACCTTTCAAATTACCACAGCCACATATTGATGGGGAGCTACAGAATAATTATTTATTTCAATCCCATCCCCTGGCAAAATGTGAAGAAAAAAATACATTTGCCTTTGCCGCATCATCACTGCTTTCACCATTTCTATGAAACCAAAATTGAAAGCTGATCTAGTTTAGTTTCCTTTAAAAAAATTATGATTTTACCTGGCCATGGACAAGGCTTTTCGTTCAACCTCTAGCTCATACTGTAAACGGCCAATCTCCTTGTTTTCAACTTCTGCTTGATCCCGAAGCTTGCTAATCCTCTCTTTCTCATATGCTACTTCCACCTTGTTATTCATAAGGCTTTGCAATTGATCCTCAACCTCATGTCTTAAGTTTGAAAAAACCTCCATTTCTGATTCAATAGCAGCCCGTTCCTTCATCAGGGCAATATTATCTTCTTCTCTCTCAGCTCTTAACCTTTCCAACTCAAGTCTAGCCTCTTCAGCCATTCTCTCAACAGCATTGATCTTTTCCCTCTCTATGTAAAGCTCCTTCTCAAAACTTGCATTGATATCCTTCTCAACTTGAGCTACTAAAGCAGTATGTGCAGCAACAGCATTTTCAGCAATAGATTCTGCTTCAATGCGCGCAAGCTCTTCACTAACAATGTCAGAAGCATCTCCAGTAGCAAGGGCAATAGCTGCTTGGGCTTTTGTTACTGGTTTATCTGGCTGGAACAATCGTGTATAACCTTGAATACCCCACCCCCCCAAAAAAATAAATAAATAAATAAACCGAAGAATAAGTGGAAACTGAAAAACAAAAGCAGATTAGAAATAACTGGGAGAAAAGAAGGAATAACAGAGAAAGAAACTTATTAGAAAAACAAATGAAGATTCACTGTAAAGCAAATGGTTAATTTTTTTTTATAAGAGTTACAAAGAGAATATGAATTACCAAATGCAAGAGCTATTATTCCCTGCTCCCCAGCAGATAGGTCAGCTACTAATGCAGGGCATGCATTGGGATGTATCTTATCAGTGTCTATAAAACCAGAAAGTCGGTACAGCATCTGCCCATCAGTCATTGGATTTGACAAATACATTTATCAGTTCAATGCATTGAGAATTAAGAAGATAGCTTAAGCATATAAGACAAAGCAATGAGTTGAACAACCTTTCTGTCAGCTTCAGGAAGCTGTCTTTTCTCTAGGGCCATTTTCCAACTGACAAGATCCTGACGTGATAAAGGGCTGCAGAAATTAATATAGGAGAGAAGGGACATCACAATTGTAGCCTATGCCATATAAATTTACAAGCATATCTCAAACAGAAGGCAATGCAACTATGCACACTATCTACGAAAAAATAAAGATGAAATATTACAAGTCTTACATTTAAAAAAAATGGAGAATTGCAATAATTTTGAATGATGACTGCACTGCTGCAGAGAGAGAGAGAGAGAGAAAGTAACCACAAATCAGATATCCAAATTCAGTAAGAATACCTTTCAGGGGAGAAGTAAGATGGGCTATTGTCTTCATCAGCAGACAACTGTTGGTCACTTCTTGAAAGCCTGCTTTCAATAAGTCCAGCTTCTGCCAAGCCTGAAAATCAATATTCTTTAGACATTATATGCATATACCAACAGGTTATATTGTTAAAAAAACAATTATTGTGTCCAGTTCTGACCTTGAATGGAAGAAAAATCAGGGTCCTCAGGGGTAACATCATCAAATGCAAGCTCAGTAACATTGCCTATGTACATAGCAGGATATACTTTCGAAATTGTGTTCCTAAAAAGTAACCAGAAAGGCACATGTAATGCCATATATTACATGCGTAAGAAGTAGATAACCTTGTTTACATCTTGTTATTCACATCACATGCAGACAGAAGAAATTAAACTACTACCTTGAAAGAGCACTGCTAGCAGACACCAACCAGCGAGCATATTCACGACGTGTGCATAAATCACCAGGTTGAACATCAGGCTCAATAACCTGAGGATGTAACAATTTTCAAGTGAACAATAGCAACCGTTTGTTAATGATCAGACTAACACATATTTACAAATATCCAAACTAAATCAGGAAAATCTTTATGAAGAGTATGCTTTCATGAGCATCTTTCAGTAGCTCTTTAATTACATACATCTCGATTTGCTAAAATAATGCTTGACCATCCCTTCAGTGAAAGCAAGCATAAAGCTAAAAGAAATTATCAACTTCAGTTGTTTTCTAGTTACTTCAACAGTAAGAAAGATTATTTCTTCCAGCAAATCTTCGACCATAAGATAGACGTTATGGCTTAGTACCACATCACAGCAAACAAATAAGCTCAAGTTTAAGTGAGTACACTCATGGTAAATTTGGGGATTTTGAATTTGGGTATCTTCCGTACTTAATGATGTTTTGTTGAATACTTGGATTACAATTACTTTATAGTTATTTTGATTATATGTTGTGAGTAATTAGATTCTTCTGAATTGATTTAAAAAACAAGTAGTGTTTCAAAAAAAAATTGTAATCTTGAAACATGCAAATGAGAGCAAATAATTACCTTTAAAACTTGCAATGCAGCTAATGCTTGCCCCTGAACCTGATCAACAACTGCAGGAACCAAAACCTTTCCAGGTAGCACCTGTACAGCTGCAGAAACTACTGATGGAGCGGGAATGCCAGGGGCAGAGAAAACAGATCCAGACTTTGGAGATTCAGATCTAACTTTATTAACCTCATTATTATAGTTCCCAACCTGCTCATCTACCAGTTCATTGGCTGATGATGATATAGATGATTTTCTAAACAGGTCATTTCCAGGAATGCTCTGCTCTTCAAAGGATGACTTATTTCCCTCACCTGAGACAAGTGGAATTTTGTTCAGGTCAAGATTTTCTTTGTTTGAATTAGAAGCTGATAGAACATTCCCTTGATCATCTTCAGTAAAAAACTTAGGATCTGAAATTGTGTTATTTGACTCAGGATTGACCACAATATTGGCAATTTCAGTCTCATTATCAGCATCTAAACTAGAAGATGTTTTGGAAATACCGGAACTTCTACTGCCACTAGAACTGCTTATTTCATCTTGGTTCTCAGTCTTAAGCTGTAGTGGCTTAGCATCGGAGTTGGGCATGTTTCCTGGTTCAACATTGAAGAGGTTCTCTTTAAGTTCAGCAGTTGATTCTGCTGAATCTACATCAGGGTTGCTATCAAAGTCTCTAAATCCATTAGCATTAAAAGAATTAACAGCATTTTCCGACTCAAATGGCATTGGGCTTTCACTGGGAGCAACTAACTTGTCATCAAGAGCTGATTCATGTTGTAAGTCTTCTGGAACAGATATATGTTTAGTGGCATCATCAATACCATTGGAGGTGTTTTTACTATCATATACCAACTGGAATCCTAAATCAGAATCATCAACAATTCTATGATCACTGTGAATATTATCACACTCAGGAGATGAATAATCCCTGGATACATCTACCTGACCTTCCATTTTATCATTTCCTTGCTCCACCTCCACCGTGTTACCAGCATTTACTTGTTCTGTACTTTCATCATTATGGTTATCAGAAGACAAAAGCACCTCCTGCTGCGTAGTCAAGGGCTTCATTTCTTGCTGTGGTCCTGTATCCAGCCATACAAATTCCAATTTCCAATAGAGAAATTTTGAAGTTAAAACACACAGAAGGTAAATCAGTTCATACAAATGCAGGAAATCCCAGTTACACCCAACTTCTATCACATGAGAGAAGCAAACAAAGATTACTTACTGGAACCAGTTCGTTTGCTGAGAGATAAGGCAGCAAAGGTAAGACCTGAAAGAAGAAGTACTCCAGCCACTCCTACTCCCACAACTCCTGAAAGCAAGCTACTTCAAAAGTGTTATTAAGTAATGTGGAATTGCTAACACTAACAATTAACAAAACACATCATTTTCAGTAACTCTCGTCCTCAAACCATGTTTGTTAATACTAACATCCAATCCAATAACCCAATAAAAACAAGTTCAGCCATGAATGAAAGTCCATCAAATTTCAACTTCCAAAATTTCCTCAATCATAAAAACAAAAAAGGGCAACCTCAATTAATAATAAAAATAATAAAATTGTTGAAATTAAACGAAAAAGCTTCAATCAGTTCAGTTGACTCAACAATTGGGATACTTCAAGTTATTTCATATTTTTTCTTAGCAAAATCTAAAAAAAAAAACAGACAATTAATAATTTTTTTTACCAATAAAACAACACAAAAACATAAAATTAAACTAATTCTCATCATTCTTCGACAAGAACTAGAATTTCAAGAACCATACTCACCTCCATATGATTCCTTTTTTTGGGAGTTTTTGGGCTCGTCCCCACCCCCGGAATCGGACCAACCCGACAACGCGTCGACCTTAGGATTCGACCCGACCCATTCCGACCCGGTTCCGTTTTGCGCAGCGCAGAGAAGGCGAACCCGAGGGTTGAAATTGGGTAGCCGAGAGTGCAGAGTGAGGGGGAATTTCCTGCCATTGAAGGCCAATCGAAGCTGAAGAGAGGTCGGGGAGCACGTGGGCACAATGATGGAAGCCATGAAAGGTTGCTCTTTTTTGCAGTGAGGGAAGAAGAGAGAGAAAGAAGGAAAAAAGTAAGAAATAGTGGATAAATGGTGATTATAAGAAGGGTGTGATTTTTGTTTTGTAGTGTGTCATAAGGGAAACAGAATGTACCTCAGATTCTGAACTGTTAGGAAATTTTTTATATTTGAGTTTCAAAATTAATAGGTTTTAGAGATTGAGTAAATTTTTGGGACTACAATATTAAAAAGAAGAAGTATTTATATTTTTAAATAATATAAAATTTTATTATTTTAAGTGAGAAAAAAATATATACAATTAAAATGATGAGAAGAATATGAGAAATTTTTTAATTTAAGTTTTAAATAAAAAATTAATTTTAACTAAAATAATCCTCTTATTTAAGAAGTAAAAAATAAATGAAATTTTAAATGATAGAAGAGTAGGTAGATAAATGTTCTTTTAGTAAGTGATGGAGTGAATTTTTCTTCCTATGACATTATTAAAAATGTTTTTTTTTTTTGGTAATCTATTAAAAATGATTTTCAAATAATGATTCATTATTCAACGAACGAAATTTTGGGCCCAAAAGTGTCTAAGAGTGTGTTTGGTTGAAGGATTTTAAAAAGATAGATGGGCAAATTAGAAGTGAGATTGTATGGCAACCATGTTTGGTTGAACCGATTCCACAGTTGCCTACCTAAATCATTATGTTAGGTGACCAATTTGCATGTCTATTTCGATCGATTTAGCCGGCCAAATAATCCCACTTCAGATGTGGTATTGCTTTGTATCTACCTATTTGCTCACATTGTAACATAACCAGATGACCAGGTACCCTCTATTAAGTGTGCGAAAGTGAAAATCTCAGTACCAAGGGAAGGTGAAGGAAGGGAAAAGAACAATGAAGAAGGGAACAATATTGAATGGGAACAGTTAAGGGAAGAAGCAACATCAGTAGCAGCTGCTCTACTTGGAGCTCGAAGTGCAAGAAAACGTTACATTGGGGTGCGCCAAAGATCTTCAGGGAGATGGGTGGCTGAGATCAAAGACACCATTCATAACATTAGACTATGGTTAGGTACTTATGACACTGCTGAAGATGCTGCTAGAGCTTATGATGAAGCAGCTCGTTTGCTTCGTGGTGCTAACACTCACACAAATTTCTTTCATTCCCACTAACCACTATGATCAAGAAACCATACCAGAACCAGAACCAAGACCCCATTTTTTTCACCAAATAGAAGAAGCCAACTTCGGAAATTTTCTAGACATTGCAGGAAATGGGACTGTTGCAGCAAGTTATGATGATGGCAGTATGGTTCTTCTGACACTACTACTTATGACTATAGTGGAACCAATGGAGAAAAGTTTAACCAAGACGGTTGTGGAGAGGATTTTACACTGGAGTATCATTGTGCTAACAATGTTGATGATGGAAACAATCAGATTGTGAGGCGTAAAGGAGAATTTGTAGACTGTGATGTTGGGCTCAATGAGTTTAAAACATGGTTATTTTGGTAATAACCATCTTTTTTTCCATCTATATTTTACCTACATCCAAACATAGACTTTATAAATGTTACCTAATTTGCCCGGTAAAATATTTTCCAACCAAACAACTTTTTTTTACATTTTCCTACCAAACTCACTTTCCAACCATTTCCCTATGTATATCATTTTCCTATTATTCATAAAATTTCTCCTCAACCAAATGCCTTCTAAAGAGAAACGAATGATTAGTATTGTGTCTCTTACATAGGATTGGTTAGCGATTAGGAATTTGAATAAATTGTATTAAATAAATTATGTATTTAATTCTCATTCGTATTAAAAAAGTATCTCTTAATGTCATTTACATATTTACATGTGAAAAAAGGAAGTTCAGAACAAAATCCGGACCAGTTCGGGTCAAGCATTGGATCAATCATGCATCGACCTGGTCAAAATTCGAACAAAATCGGCCAAACCCGGTGACCCGATCGGGTCATGCATTTAAAAAAACCAAAATTGATTTTGTCATAAAAAATGTAGAACTCATTTTAATTTTTTTTTGTAATCTTATTTGCTAGTATACTCTTCTATAATGACCTCAAATTTCAGCTTCTAATACTGAAGCAATTTGTGGAATAATAAATTAAGATATTGTGACATATGTTATTTTTAATGTAGTTGAATTTGAAAAATATGAGTTCAATGTCATTAAGAGGTATGTTTAGAAGGATTTTGAGTTGCAATTTAAATTGACATAGTAATAGCATGTTTTTTAGCTTATTTAATGAATCTTGTTTAATTCATTTTAGATATGAAGAATATAATTGAATTTATATGTTCATAATTAAATATATTTTTATATATCTATATATATCCGGGTCAACCGGTCCGACCAATGACTTGATGACCCAGTACCCCGACCGGGTCGATGCCCGAGACGGGTTTAATAACACTGGCTTTCACTTTGAATTAATTATCCTTTTATGATTTCTTTTATTAGTTATATTTTATGATTTTGTCCATTCAAGAACACGGCTACAAATTTTGATTCATTTGTCTAATTTACCCATCTTAAAAATTTCAATAAATCATTCTTTGTGACCTGAGGCCCAGCTAGCTAAACACTTACATGGTCGTGTCATTGCCTTTCATGTCAAAATTTTCCATCTTAAAAGGTTGGAGCACAGAACAGTTCTCTTGGTGCTCTTGAAACTTCCCTTTTACTATTTTTTTGCCATCATTTTTTAAATCCCTTATAGAGTTTCTTTTCCCATCAATAAATCATTTGTAGCTTGAAGTGTGCCATTGTTGGTGATGTGTTGGGACTATTTGTTCATAATTTAGCATCTGCATTGAAAAGTTTGATTATTGTTTTTTATGCAAGTTGTAGTTAATTTTTCTTGTCTTAATTCCTTTCAATGGGAAGACGGAAATAAGATAAAAGACAAGAAGGAGAAAATAAAGAAAGGGGGAATTGAAGAGGAAAAAGACTAAAAAGAGACTATCTGACACATAGGAATAACAACGAGTTTAACATTCCACCCTGCTTATAGCTTTTCTTCATTCTGTCCTAAGATACACTGTCCGTCAATCTATATCCCACTCTATAAGTCTTGTTTAACTACCTTTTCCCAGGTAAGTTTCGGTCTACCTCTACCTTTTTTTGTGTCGAGCTCTTGGTAAGTAAATTTTGTTTTTACAGGAGCATCCAGGGGTCGTCTCATTACATGCCCAAACCACCTCAATCTATGTTTCCTCATCTTCTCAGTTACCGGCACTACTTCTACCTTTCGTCGAATATCTTCATTTCTTATCTTATCCATCCTCGTATACCCACACATTCATCTTAACATCCTCATTTCAGCTACTCCCATTTTATGCTCGTGTTACCTATGTGCTGGCTTTAACACCCCGTGTATACCCGGTAATGTTATCATACTATCGTATTAAGCTGCGCTTAATTAAAAAATGCAGAATATCTTTTTCTTTTCATTTATGACGTCATTATACTTAGCCAAGTTGATTACTTAATCAATTTCATAAAATACCGCTGTATGTAAATTGCAATAAGACATCTAACTGAAATACCTTAAAATATAGATATAATGAGTATCTAAGTCACGACATTACAACACGTAATCCGGACAATATCCTGATACATTATTACAACTCCAGATAAAACAAGACATAAACAAGTCTAAGTGGCATGGACAATCCCCATGCTCACCAATCAACAGCATAATCAACCAGGTCTCAACATAATAATCCATGAACTGAAGCTAAAAGCATAAGACAGTAAACAGGATCCAGCATCAAACATAGCAGCATAAACATGCAACATCTATCAGCTAAGCTCTGGCCTCCTGCCACTAGAGGTCTCAACCCCCGCATTACCTGAACCTGAAATAAGCATTCCCCAAACGTGGGGTGAGATCTCTAAACCAGAAATCTCAGTAAGACAAGGGGTCCTCAAGGATCTTCCACCCCAAGCTCACTTACATGTGCAATATAAGTTCCAAAACTATGCAGTGCAACAGATATTCATGCCATGTGTGTTTAATACTATTCTACTGGCCAGAGAAATGCAGGAATACGTCTATTACCCACACGTAGTACAAGGAACACCGCTTGCACCTCACCCACAGCCTCACCATCTTGTATGTACCATATACTCAGGCTTACCGTATAGGTGGAACACCACATGCATATCATAAAGGCACTAGCATATAACAACTCAATAGCATTTCCAAAACATCAAAAGCATGTAACACAGCATGCATATAACCATACCCCCATGGGACATGGTGGAACCACAACTTGGCTAAACCGAGGACACAAAAGCTTACCTTGCAAGCTAACACCCAAAGCCAAGAGTCCACAGCTCAAAGTCCAAACACAGTAGAATCATAATCTGATATGGACCAACAATATATCAACAATCATACTCTACAAGTATACAACATAAAGACAACGCCTTTTCATTACGTTTTACGTCTTAAGGCTTCTCACCAAGCCATAAGCCCTTAATCATATGATTCTGACTTACATTCATTAATTACAGAAGTTCAACTTCCTCAAACTAGTGTCCACAAACCCATAGATCAGTTCTGGATGAACAGTACGCTACTGTTCCTCGTAAACCCAGAATATCTGGATATTCCTCGGGGGCATATCCGGATATCCAATATCCGGATATCTCTCTGGCAATAACCGGATATCAATATCCGGATATCCAAATCCCCATATCTAGATCCTCATATCCGGATATCCAATATCCGAATATTTTACGAGCAGATATCTGGATATTTCGCGACAGAATGCAGTTTCTCCATTTCGCGAAGATATCTTTCCAAGGTTCCACTTTTAACACTTCCAGAAGTTTAAACATGCATATTAAGGTCCATTTAGGTTCAAATGACAGTTGGTTACATGTTTACCTCATTAAACATACCAAGACACCTCTTTTACTCATCAAAACACATGATCAAGGTTGGTACAACTTACCAAACTCCAAAACAGAGGAAGAAAGGCTCTTGGAGCTCTCAAATCTGCCTCCAAGGTTCAGACCTCCAAAGAATACGAAAATGGTGCTCAATACTTGGTTTATCTTCACAAAGATGGACACTTGGAGCTTCAACCACCAAGACTGAGGCTCCAACACTACAACCCACCAACACAGCCCCCTCTCAAGAACAACACAACCACCAAAACTCAGAAACAAAGCCTCATACCCACTCCCAATCACACACCCAAATGTTTACTCCACAAAAGAGAAGAAGAATTGGAAGAAAAGGTCACAAACCCTCACAATGGTGAAGAGACCAAGAAGCAAGGCTCAAGGCTGGTCAGCCACTCTCAATTCTCACGTAGGAAATATAGTTACCTAGGGTTTTGAGCCTAACATGAGTATATATAGTCACTTAACCAATTAACACACAGTATTAACTTTAATTGCTACGCTTACCATTTTAATCCCAAACTCAGGATTCTTAACCTACTCAATTTTACAAGAATTATCATATTTTTCTTATAATTTTCGGAACACCTTTCCGATACGCGCTTTTTATAGCCAGTACCATATTCTGGCACCAGTTCTCATTATTTTAACTTGAAACTCGTTTTACAAGTCCTACATATTATTCTAGTAATTATCATGCACTTATTATAATTTTTCTGGATACTTTTTCGGTACGCATTTATACCGACTAGCAGAACCGGTATCTGCACTTTTCTTCCGAAAAGTGACTTTCAGCATTCTTAATCACTTATCATAATTATTAAAGCCTCTTAATAATTATTAGGTTCAATTATGGAATTATTTCCTAAATTAACATCATTAATTAATTAATTTCCTTAATTAACGGTGCGGGTTCTTACATTCACCCCACCTTTTTAGGATTTTGTCCTCAAAATCAGAAAACATACCTGTCTCGAAACTCGGGGTACTGCCGGAGAAGCTTGTCCTCACGCTCTCAAGTACACTCCTCAGGAGTTCTTCCGGTACACTGCATTTTGACCATCGGAATGACCTTGCTCCTCAGCTGCTTCTCGCCACGATCGAGAATCTGGAGTGGTTCGACGGGAGTCTTTAGGTTCTCCCGAACTTCCACATCATCAGGTTGCACCACGTGTGAAGGATCTGTTATGTACTTCCGAAGCTGAGACACGTGAAACACGTCGTGAATGTT